TATCCTTTCTTCTGCTTGGTCAATTTGGCTATTGAAACTTGTGTATGCTTTGCGAAGTTCTTGTGTTGTGTTTTGAGCTCCATTAAGTCATTTATATTCTTCTCTAAGCTGTTTATTCTCATTAGAATTTTGTCAAACTTTTTTTTCAAGGTTCTTACTTTCTCTGCATTGGGTTAGAACATGTTCTTTTAGTTCAGAGAAATTTGTTATTACCCACCTTCTGAAGCCTATTTCTGTCAATTCATCAGACTCATTCTCCATCCAGCCTTGTTCTGTTGCTGGTGATAAGTTGTGATCCCTTGGAGGAGGAGAGACGTTCTGGTTTTTGGTGTTTTCATCTGTTTTGCACTCGTTTCTTCCCATCTTAGTTGCTTTATCTACCTGTGGTCTTTGTAGTTGGCGACTTTTGGATGGGGTCTCTGAGTGGGTGTCCTTTTTGTTGATGTTGAAGCTATTTTGTTCTGTTTTTAAATTTTTCTTCTAATAGTCAGTTCTCTCTGCTGCAGGACTGCTGAAGGTCCACTCCAGACTCTGCTTGCCTGGGGAAAAGTCTCTTTGCTGAAGGGGCTGCAGAACAGTAAGGGTTGCTGCCAGTTTCTTCTTCTGTTATCTTTGTCCCAGAAGGGTTGCCACCAGATGTCAGCCAGTGCTCTCCTTTATGAGGTGTCTCTTTGGGTATATGGGGGTCAGGGAGCTGCTTGAGGAGACAGTCTGTCCCTTATGGGACCTCAAGTGCTGTGCTGGGAGCTCTGTTGTTCTGTTCAGAGCTGCTGGGAAGGTACGTTTAAGGGTGCTGCAGTGTGACTCATACCCATCTCTTTGCCTAGGTGCTCTGTCCTCAGAAGGTGGGGCTTTATTTTTAAGTTCCTGAAGTGCTTCTGTCCTTTCTCAGAGAGGTTCTCCCCAGCAAGGAGGTAGTCTAGTCACAGTCTGCCAGCAGAGGTGTTGCTGAGCTACTGTAGGCTCTCCCCGGCTGTTGTGTAAATTTCCTTGTGGTTTTGTTTACAGAGGTACAGTTAGAACTTCCTCAGTAATGGTGGTCTGCCTCAGTAATGGCAGACTGCTTTGGTAATGGCGGACTTCCTTGGTAATGATGGACTGCCTCAGTAATGGCAGACTGCCTTTGTGGTGGTGGACTGTCTCGGTAATGGCAGTCAACCTTCCCCCCACCAAGCTGGACCATTGCTGCACTTGCTGCAAAACTCTCAATCCAGAGCATTTCAGATTTCTGGTATTTGTGGTGGTGACACCTGCTGAGCCAGATCACCTGGCTCCCTGTTTCAGCCCCCTCCTTATCAGTTGAATGGGCGGCTCTGTCTCCCAGGCATTCCAGGTGCCCGTTGAAATGGCCACCCAGATTTGTGTGAGTTTTTATGCGGAGACCACGGTGCTGGCTGAAACAGCTGTGCTAGAAACTCGTGGCAATTTTTAGCCGGGGAATCTCCCAGTCTGTGGGCAGTAAAAACTTGTTTGGAAATATGGTGATCACTCACACTCTGTGTTGTTCTTACTTGGAACTGCACTCCAGAGCTGTTCCTATTTGGCCATCTGCTTAACTATTTTCTGATGTTCACAAAGGTAGTTTGGTTCACATATTGTTAAGTCAGTGTCTTAATGGGGAAACTAGGGCATGGGGTTTCTATTCTGCCATCTTATTGACATCAGTGGAGCATGTACTTTTAAAAAATAATTTCAACTTTTATCTTAGATTTAGGAAGTACATGTCCATGTTTGTTATTTGAGTATATTGTGCAATGCTGAGGTTTGGGGTACAATTGATTCTGTCACCCAGGTACTTAGCATAGTACCCAATAGTTGGTTTTTCAACCATTGCCCCACTCCATTCCTCCTCCCTTCCTTCTCTACTAGTCCCTAGTATCTATTTTTGCTACATTTATATCCATGAGTACTCAATATTTAGCTCCCACTTCTTATAAGTGAGAACATGTGGTATTTGGTTTTCTGTTTCTGCGTTAATTCACTTAGGATAATGGCCTCCAGTTGAATCCATGTTGCTGCAAAGAACACAGTTTAAATCATTGTAATGACTATGGAGTATTCGATTTTGTATATATATTATGTTTTCTTTATCCAATTTGCCATTGATGAGCACCTAGGTTGATTCCATGTTTTTACTATTGCAAATGCTATTGCAATGAACATATGAGCACATACTTTTTTTGGTCAAATTATTTATTTTCTGCTAAATATATACCCAGTAATGGGATTTCTGGGTTGAATAGCACTTCTGTTTTATGTTTTTTGAGAAATCTCCAAATTGCTTTCCATGGAGGCTGAACTAATTTACATTTCCACCAGCAGTGTATATAAGTGTTCTGTTTTCTCACTAGCCTCTCAAGCATCTGTTGTTTTTGACTTTAAAGGAATAGCCATTCTGACTGCTGTGAGATTATAACACAGTGCTTTTGTTTGCGTTTCTCTGATGACTAGAGATGTGCATTTTTTCATGTGTTTGTTGCCTGCTTATATATCTTCTTTTGAGAAGTGTCTGCTTATATCTTTTGCCCATTTTTTTCATTTATTCATTTTTATTTATTTATTTTTTATTTTTTTTCCTTCTTTCTTTTTTTAATTTTTTTTAATTGCATTTTAGGTTTTGGGGTACATGTGAAGAACATGCAAGATTGTTGCATAGGTACACACATGGCAGTGTGATTTGCTGCCTTCCTCCCCTTCACCTATATCTGGCATTTCTCCCCATGCTATCTCTCCCCAACTCCCCACCCCTCACTGTCCCTCCCCTATTTTCCCCCAATAGAACCCAGTGTGTAGTGCTCCCCTCCCTGTGTCCATGTGTTCTTGTTGTTCAACACCTGTCTATGAGTGAGAACATGCGGTGTTTGATTTTCTGCTCTTGTGTCAGTTTGCTGAGAGTGATGGTTTCCAGGTTCATCCATGTCCTTAGAAAGGACACAAACTCATCGTTTTTGATGGCTGCATAATATTCCACGGTGTATATGTGCCATATTTTCCCTGTCCAGTCTTATCATCGATGATCTTTTGCCCATTTTTAAATGGGGTTGTTTCTTGTTTGTTCAGTTGTTTAAGCTCCTTATAGATTCTGGATATTAGACCTTTGTTGGATGTGTAGTTTGTGAATATTTTCTCCTATTCTGTAGGTGGTCTGTTTGCTCCATTGATAGTTTCTTTTGCTAAGATGCACTTTAGTTTAATTAGGTCCCACTTGAGAATTTTTGTTTTTGTTGCAATTGCTTTCGATGACTTAGTCATAAATTATTTCCTAAGGCTGATATCCAGAATGGTGGTTCCTCGGGTTTCTTTCAGGATTCTTATATTTGAGGTCATATATTTAAACTTTTAATTCATTTTGGGTTAGTTTTTGTCTATGGTGAAAGCTAGGGATTCAGTTACATTCTTCTGCATATGATTACCCAGCTATCCAGCTCCATTTATTGAATAGGGAGTCCTTCCTGTGTTGTTTGCTATTGTCAACTTTGTCAAAGATCAGATGGCTACAGGTGTTTGGCTTGATTTCTAGGATCTCAATTTTGTTCCATTGGTCTATGTGTCTATATTAGCACAACTACTCTAATATTTTGGTTACTACAACCTTATAGTATAGTTTGAAGCTGGGTAATGTGATGTATTACCAAAATGTATTACCATATAACAAAATGGCTTTGTTCTTTTGAGCAGATACTTTTAAAAATAGAAACTAATAACAGAAAAACTTTCCAATGTAGCATGTAACATCTTTGGCTGAGAAGCACTTCTCCCCACCCTGGCATATTAGGTTTGTCAAAAAGTCTCAGGGAAATGCACAACAAATGCTTCTTAAGCCTTCAGGTTCACTTAAAATTAATTTTCATTGGCCTCAATAAACTTACCTATAGGAAAACAATCTGGACATATCTAAAGATATTTTAGAAGCCTAAGTGGAAAGACGGGAAGAATTATTTTTTATGAAATAAATAAATCGACTGTAGTTAAAACCTAGTAAGCTCTCTATTATGTTTAACTTTTTCAAATAATTTGCTACTTTCTAGGGAAGAAGTAGTCAGGGGAGTAGAGAAACAAATTTGTATTTTAAGAACCCAGATGCAATTTCACTGAAAAACAATAGGAAATTAATATGGAACACATCTTAGTAGTCAACATGCTCCAGAAAAACTCTCTCTCTCTCTCTCTTTCTATATATATGTGTGTGTGTGTGTGTGTGTCTACACACACACACACACACACACACATCTATATGAATAAATTTATATGAAAAAAATTGGCTCACATGATTATGGAGGCTAAGAAGTCCCACAGTCTGCCATCGGGAAATAGGAGACCTTGAAAAGCCAGTGTTGTAGGTCCAGTTTGAGTTCAAAGGCCTGAGATTCAGGAGAACCGATGGTGTAAATTGGTTTACTGCCCTAGTCCAGGGCAGTAAAAGACTGATGTCTCAGGTCAAGCAGGCAGGCAGGAAGGAATAAAAAAGTGGATGAATTCCTCCTTCCTCTGCCTTTTGTTCTATTCAGGCCCTCAACAGATTGGTTGATGAATACCCACACTGGGGAGGACAATCTACTGCTGAGTTTACCAATTCAAATGCTAATCTCACCTGAAAACACCCTTACTCTCATCTGCTCACCCCTTGGTCAACCAGGTCACCCCTTGGTCAACCAGTCAGGTTGACACATAGAATTAATCATTACACCATCCGAACATATAAAATTGAAAAAAAAGATTGAAAACACAAAAAATAAATTTATGTAATTTTAAAGACAATTCTGTTTCTTGGTAAAGAAAAGAATGAAATTCTGAGATGGGAGCTCATGTATTAGGACTGTCTCTTCCCTGTAATGATGTTAGCGTTTTAGGCCTGTACTCTTGGTCAGTAGGCCATCATGTGACTACTCCTTGCACCTTGTGTTTTCATCTAAAGAGTAGCTCTGAAGGCTATAAGGAATCTTTACTCTGTTCAATCTGGAAATACCAAAGTCTTTGACTCCTTTTTTTCCTTCATGCAGAATTTCATTGTCCAACAGCTGAATGAGTCACTTTCTTATTTTCTGGGGCTTTCAGACCCACGAGGTAATAATAATTGGCAATGGATTGATAAGACACCTTTTGAGAAAAATGTCAGGTGAGTGCACAACTGGAGCCTTGTTTACATAGAAAATCTGGGGAAGTTTTGTTAGGAGTGACTAATAATGTTAATACTGATAATTATGATGGTAACAGGATCTAACAATCAAGCATTACTAAGGATATGCATTATCTCACTTAAACTTCATGAAAACTTCTCTTTTTCTGAACTAGTTTTACAGATGAAAAACTAAATAACTTGCCCCAAATCAATAAACTATTAAGATGAAAAACTGGATTTCAACCTCATGTCTATCTGACTCCAGAGATGGTGCTCTAAACTATTACATTTTGCTGACTTTAAATACAAGTAGACACTTAAGCTGATCTCTAAATAATAAAATGTAAAATATCTCATCAGAACTATGTACAATTTTACATAATAATACTATTTACTTGTGGCTTTAACAAAGAGTTCAATTATACATTATCTTATTTGATTCTTCCAATATCTTGTGAATTACTTAGAGATCTTATTATAATTCCCATTTTTAAAGATGAGGAATCTAATACCTGGGGATATTGAATTACTTGCCCAAGATCAAAATGAGTGAGTTTCAAAACCAGGTCTTGTAATTCCAAAAGTATGTGCAATCTCCCAGTCTTTACCCAGAATGTATTCCTTGAAGGCAGGGTAACTTTTACATTCAGACTCAGGCATCCAAACATTCACTTAAGGCAGATCCATGAGAATAAAGACACTTAGGAAGGTGATTAGAATACACAGATATAAGGAGATAGTCTCTTTATTACATGTCAGTAAGAAGGAAATTATTTAATAACCCCAGTCAGGATAAAGGGTCTGTAAAAAGGAAAAAGATTGCTGCAGAAAGACCTAAGAATAAACCATCTCATAAAATTTTTGCCAGGAGAATGTTAAAGAAGCAAGTTTAAAAGCATGTATTTATACTTGAAGATTTGAGGAGGGCAGTATGAAAAGAAGGAACAATCATTGGAAAGTTCTTTCTTCCTAAATCCCACTCTGCTCACCCCAAACTTACATAACTTTCTAATCATTCATCATGCATTCATTGAAGATGTGTATCTACCTTTCTGTTTTCCTTTAGATTTTGGCACGCAAATGAACCCAATCATTCTGAAGAGCAATGTGGTTCAATAGTCTTCTGGAAACCTAAAGGATGGGGATGGAATGATGTTCTCTGTGAAAGTAGAAGAAATTCGATATGTGAGATGAATAAGATTTATCTATGAGTGGAACTTCTTTCACTGACATTTTAAAAACTGAAATCTATCATGAAATGATAATTTCTTCTTGTAATTTATAAATAATTCTTATGTTATAGAGATTCATAGAAATGGAAAGATACCTGTCTCCCTGTGATCAATCTTCTTCTAGTTTCTCTTTTCCACTAATGAAAGAATGAGCTCTTCCTCTCTTTCTTCCATTCTTTCACTTGCTATTCATTTTGTTCTTTCTTCATACTTCATTACACAAACATTTATTGTTTCAGAGGCTGTACTATTTTGTTTTGTTAGAAGATCTATAAGGCAGTATCTTTTGAAAATGTTGACCTCAAAATACCATAAAGAAATCTTTTTGGTTGTGAACTGCAATCATCTGAAGGCCTGAGAAGAGTTGAAATATCTTTTTCTAGATGCCTCACTTGCATGGCTGGCAACTTAGTGTTGGCCATTGCTAGGAGGCCTCAGTACCTCACTCTGTGGAGGGCTAACTGAATCTCCTTACAATATAGTGGCCAGCTGCCATTGGAACAAGTGATCCAAAAAAACAAGTGAAGGTAATGTCTTTAATGAATTAGACTCAGCAGTTATGGACCATAACTTCTGCTGTACCCCACTGGTCGCATGAAACAGATCTGATATAATAAAGAACGGAACTACCCAAAGGCATGAATACTAGAATGTGAGAATCCCGAGGGCCATCTTGTAGGCTGACTATCACAGCAAAATTTCTTTAAAAAGATACAAAAAAAAAAAGGGGGAGTAAACATTAAATTAATTAAAAAATCTCCTACACTAAAATTATGGGCTTCATCAAAACATTATTAAGAAAATTAAAATAAAAATGTCTGGAGGAAAATATTTTAAACACTTATAACTGACACAGTATTAATGCCAAACATATATAAACATCTATTACAAATCAGTTAGAAGAACACAAAACATGAGCAAAATATTTGAACAAACACTTTATAGATGGAGAAATATAGACAATAAACATGTTTTTATAGAGATGCTCAGCTTCATTCATAGTGTAAAAACTGCAAGTCAAGAGACAATAAGACATCATTTTATGTCAATTTTAATGGTAAAATTAAAAAATATAATTCCAAAAGTTGGAGGAAATATAAATCGATAAGACTACTTATACATTACTGATTTGTGTTTAACTTTGTACAACTGCTTTGGAAAGTACATAAATATACATTTTCCTTACATAAATACCACCCAAAAAGATGCTGTATTGAGAGAGATTCAAGATCAATGACATATGGGTAGTAAAATGGAGAAGTGTTCTAAGATTCTAGGCTTTTTATTGGGCAGTAAAATTAACATAAATATCCAACAACAAAAAGTAAAATGAAACAAGAGTGTAAAGAGGATAGCATAGGATGAATCTAAAATTATGATCAGGCCGGGCATGGTGGCTCATGCCTGTAATCCCAGCACTTTGGGAGGTTAAGTGGGGTGGATCACCTGAGGTCAGGAGTTTGAGACCAACCTGGCCAATATGGCAAACCCCCATCTCTACCAAAAATACAAAAAATAACCAGGCATGGTGCATGCACCTGTAATCCCAACTACTTGGGAAGCTGAGGCAGGAGAATTACTTGAATCCAGGAGGTGAAGGTTGCAGTGAGCTGAGATCGTGCCATTGCACTCCAGCCTGGGAGACAAGAGCAAAACTTTGTCTCAAAAATAAATAAATAAATAAAATAATGATTAGTATGCTGTTGCGCAAAGTGTAAATATGAAAAATAATCCATTGGGGGCTAGATTAATTCAAGTTTGGGGTTCTTGACTGATAGCTTTGAGTTCAAGATTACAATGAAATTGTTGTGTTCCCAGGATCCAGTGGGTGTTGTCTTTGTCTTCATGCCACCATTACCATAATGAAGCTGGTGGCTAGACACTAGATACTCCATCTAACGGTAACAAGTAGGTCTGGAAAGTCGCCATTTATGATCTTGATCATCAGGCAGAAACACGAGCAAGAAATTAGCTCTTGCTTTGTTTTTACTTCCCACATCTCATGCTATTGAATTTAATTGGTTCAAAATTTGCATCAATAACATAATTGAAAAAGAGTCTTAAAAATGTTGTTCATGGCCTTCCCGACTTTGAAGCACTGGCAGGCACAATGAAGGAGGTGGGAATGGATGTGAGTGCTGATTGACTAGATCCAGTATGGTTGTGCCATGGCATTCTTTAAATACATAGTTATATTTGACCTAAACATCAGTATTCTTAAGTGAGATGGTGCATACTTTTCCTTTTGGTGCTATCCTAGTTTGGAATCAATTTATGCTAGCTTCATAAAAAATGAGTCAGCATGTTTTTCATTTTTCATTCTCTGAACAATTTGGTTAAATTTGCCTGTAATGTAAGTGTATATTTCTTAGAACTAGTTAAATTTATCTGTAAATTTCTCTGGACTTGCTCTCTATTTAAGACTACTTTTTGGACCATATTTTTCTTTTCTTCTGTGATTTTGAGACTTAGGATTTCTAACCCTTCTTAATTTAGAATTTTTTTTTTTTAGAAAATTATCTATTTCATATTAAATTTAATTTGTTGATTTAATCTGTGAATAGTGTATGTATATAATTCTAATCTACCCTTGCATCTAAAAAATGTGTATCATTTTTAGTTTTAATTAATTTTGCATGTATCTTTCTTCTTTTAACTTGATCGAGCTTGTCAAAGTTATATTAAATGTCCTTTAAAAAAGAGAGTCAGCTTTCCTGATGGTATGTACTTTTATTCTATTTAATTAATGGCTGTTTTTGTTATTAATTGATCCTTCACTCTTTGAATTTATTTTAATCTTATCTAGCTTCTTAAAATAAATTAATATAAAGGAATTCATTGATCTTCAGTCTTTTCTTTTTCAAATAAAACATTAAAGGCTATATTTTTACTTTGGGTATTATTTTAACCCAACAGAAGTTTTAAATTTTAATAATCTCATTATTTCTCATTTTTACATAGTAATAATTGTGGGAAGGACTTTTTCTTGGTCTAGGAGTTATTTAGTATAGTGTTATAAAATTTTTATGAGACTAGATAAATTTTGGCTTCTATTTTGAAAATTTGTTATTACATTTTGTTTAAAGAATGCAGCATATGCATTCTATAATACTTTTAAGAGTTTATTATCTTTTCTTTGTGACCTTGAATTAATTCAGTCAAGAAAAGCTAAATTGTGTTAGAAAATTGGTGAGGTTAATGGGTTAGGCTTATTTAGGACTGCTTTCATTCTGGTTTATTACATACCTAGAAAACAAAACATACAATGAGGAAACCTCCTCCTCAGTGGAGAGTATTCACATGGATTAACAAGTATCCTCACACTCTGAGTCTGTTCTGAGAGGCATAACCTCATTCCTCCTTCCCAAACATGCTTGATATTAATTCAGCAACATTGTTCTTTCCAAGTCCCTGAACACCCAGCCAAGCCATCAGGCACTGACTGTGAATTGACACAGATCTTTTTTTTCCCCCCATTTATTTATTTTATTGCATTTTAGGTTTTGTGGTACACGTGAAGAACATGCAAGATTGTTGCATAGGTACACACGTGGCAGTGTGATTTGCTGCCTTCCTCCCTATCACCTACATCTGGTATCTCTCCCCTTGCTATCTCTCCCCAGCTCCCCACCCCACACCGTCCCTCCCCTATTTCCCCCCAACTGACCCCAGTATGTAATGCTCCCCTCCCTGTGTCCATGTGTTCTCATTGTTCAACACCCGCCTATGAGTGAGAACATGTGGTGTTTGATCTTCTGCTCTTCTGTCAGTTTGCTGAGAATGATGGTTTCCAGGTTCATCCATGTCCCTAGAAAGGACACAAACTCATCATTTTTGATGGCTGCATAATATTCCACGGTGTATATGTGCCACATTTTCCCTGTCCAGTCTATCATCGATGGGCATTTGGGTTGGTTCCAGGTCTTTGCTATTGTAAACAGTGCTGCAATGAACATTCATGTGCACGTTGACACAGATCTTTGTCTCAAGCCATCTTCCTTCTAGGCAAAGTTAACCATCAGATGCACAGTTTGAAGTTACTTTCAGTGAGAAGGTTTCCATTTTTCACAGGTTTCCTGAGCTAGTTCTGAGTAGTGCTATAACTTTCAACTGTCTTCCTCTAGTGAGTGCCAAATAATGAGGACAACCATGTGAAAACAAAACTTTTTTTCCTTCTGAGATAAGTAGTCAGAAAACTCCCTAGGAGGTCATAGGTGAGGATTTAGGGAAAAGTAACATTATGGCAGAAATAAGCACACAGATTGTGAATCAATGTGTTTTGAAGCCAATTTATATCCAGTCATATTTAAAATGCTCCAAAATTTCCCATGATACATCAGCTAATGCAGTTTATGAAGGTCTTCCATAGTAATATGGTTTGTCTCTGTGTCCCCTTCCAAATCTTATCTTGAACTGTAATTCCCATGTGTCAGAGGAGGGGCCTCATGGGAAATGATTGAATCATGGGGAAAGACTTCCCTTTTTATGATAGAGTTCTCACAAGATCTGGTTGTTTGATAAGCGTGTAGCTCTTCTTCCTTATCTTGCTCTCTCCTGCCAACATGGTAAGATGTACTTGCTCTCCCTTTGCCTTCTGCCATGACTGTAAGCTTCCCAATGCCTCCCAGTCATGCTTCCTTCAGTCTGCAGAACTGTGAGTCAAACAGCTTTTCTTCAATTACCCATTCTCAGGTAGTTCTTTACAGCAAGTGTGAAAATGGATGAATACAGAAAATTGGCACCATGAGAGTGGAACACTGCTATAAAGATACCCCACATGAAACTCCACATGAAAACGTGGAAGTGACTTTGGAACTGGGTAACCGGCGGAGGTTGGAACAGTTTGGAGGGCTTGGAAGAGGACAGGAAAATGTGGGAAAGCTTGGAACTTCCAAGAGACTTGTCAAATGGTTTTGACCAAAGTGCTGATGATGATATGGACAATAAAGTCCAGGCTGAGGTGCTCACAGATGGCAATGAGAAACTTGTTGGGTAGTGGAGTAAATGTCACTCTTGCTATGCTTTAGCAAAGAGACTGGTGGCATTTTGCCTTAGAGATCTGTGGAACTTTGAACTTGAGAGAGATGATTTAGGATATCTGGCAGAAGAAATTTCTAAACAGCAAAGCATTTAAGATGTGACCTGGCTCTTTCTAAAACTGTATGCTCATATGCGTGAACAAAGAGATGATCTGAAACTGTAACTTATATTTAAAAGGGAAGCAGAGCACAAAAGCATGGAAACTTTGCAGCCCAGCCATGCAGTAGAAAAGAAAAATCCACTTTTTGGGAGAAAGTCAAGCCTGCTGCAGAAATTTGTGTAAGTAAAGAGGAACTGGAGTCAAATGTTAATGGGAAAAATGTCTTCAGGTCATTTCGGAGATTTTCTTGGTAGTGCCTCCCATCATAGGCTTGGAGTCCTAGGAAGGATAAGTGGTTTCATGGGCTGGGCCCAGGGCCCTGCTGCTCTGTGCAGCCTCAGGATGAGCCCCCTTGCATTCCAGCTGATCCACCTCCAGCCATGGCTAACAGGGTCAATGTTTAGTTCAGGCCATTGCTTCAGAGGGTGCAAGTCCCAAGCCTTGGTGACTTCCACGTGTTGTTGGACCTGTGGGTGCACAGAAGACAAGAGTTGAACTTTGGGAGTCTCTGTCTAGATTTCAGAGGATGTAGGGAAACACCTGGATGTCCAGGCAGAAGTCTGCTGCAGGGGCGGAGCCCTTATGAAGACAATCTCTGCTAGGGCAATGCAGAGAGG